GTTCAGCAGATTAAATTTATGGTCTAACATACTTGATCACATTTTAACCCCAGTTTAAAAAATAATGCATTGCCTGCTGTATTAGAGTTATAAAGACAGAAAACCAGAGGTTGAAATTAGAGGCATAAAGTAACTTCATAATGATTAAAATTCAAGAAATGACCCCCAGAGCCCTCAGCTCTGCTAGAAGGCTGAGAGGTCAACAGCAGTTTTTCCTCCAGTGTGGAGAAGGCTGCATGACCCTGCATGGCTGTCCATGACATTCCTCTGCTTTTCTGTGCTGTCTCCATGCACAGAAATCTAAGGGCTGAGACTGCTCCCTGCCATCCAGAAAGGTCACTTTGAGGCAGTTCCATTACTTACTTCATTGTAGGATTACTTAATCACAAGAATTACTTGCCCCCCTTATCATTTGCCTTCACCTGCTTAATTCACAGCACTAAACATTTTGCTATGTCAACTTCAGAAATTCCAGCTGTTTTCCCAGACTTTGTTGTTCTTTCTAGCCCTCCTCATCTTCCTTGTAAGATGCAAATATTTCAGAAAATCTTCAGGAAAGAATCACATTCATGAGCTTTTTAAAGAAACGGTGGCACAGAAGAAAGCTGCTGCTGTTTCTCTCTCTCCTGTGCTTTAAACAGTGACACATATTTACATGTATTTATGCCCCACCTCCTCCATGCATGTTCTCATTTTATGTGCAAAGCAGGTCTTTCTGAAAGGCCAAGTTTGCAGTTTGTGTGCCAGATTCTGAACAGGGTTCCTGCTGCTCTGAGAAGGGGCAGTGAGTTGGCAGGTGCCCCGGGGGGCAGCTCTGCAGTGAGGACACAGCCCCTCCAGGCACTCCAGGGTAACACCCCTTGGGAAGTGGGTGTTACCAGAGCTGCACCAGCCTGTGCTGCAGAACAGGACAAAGGCCACATTATCCTGCATCTGTGTCCCAAGGAGCATCCCCCCAGCTGCTGCCTGGACAGGACAAGTGCCTGGCTTCACACAGCAGCTGTCACCCGGGGGCTGGCCAGGGAGAGCTGCTGGCACCAGTTCAGTGTCACCTGCCAGGGACAAGGCTGTCACTGGCCAAACACCTGCAGGTATTCCACTGGGACTGGCTTTGTTCTACTTTTGTGCAGGAAGGCTTTAAATAAAACTTACTCTCCAGCTGATACCTGGCTGGGAATCCACTCCGAAGGACAAAGAAGGGATAGGTAAAAAGCTGCAGGAGTGACCTGCATGTTGTTGAGGAAAGGAGAACACTCCTTCTGCCTGTCCTGAATGAGGAAAGGGCTTTGGAAAAAGAAAAATCTCTCTATCTTAGATTTTCAAAACTTGTTTTCTGAAGTGCAGTTTTCTGCTGCAGAAGCAACACAAATTATTGATTTCTTGTTGGGTTATTATGACTCCAGACAGTAAGAAATTTGTCAAGTTTCATATTAGCTGCATTTAAGGCTATGCAGGGAATTTAGTATTAAGCTTAAAAACATTCTCTTCAGAACAGGCCTTCAGAATTTATGAAGCAGAACACCTAGAGACAAGTTCATTTTGAAACCAGAGCATCAGGAATAAACCCCCAACGACCAGTTTCCCACGGCCCCGGGCACGCAAACACAGCGGGCAGCTCTTACCACATCCTGCTTCTCGCAGGGCTCGTGTGTCACCAGCAGCCACGAGCAGCTTTTCTTCTGGATCTCGAACCCGTTCGTATCCTGCTGGTGAAGAGGAAGGGTTAAACCAGCGCCCCGGAAAACGCTCCCTCGGGATGGCAGCACCGCCCGTAACGGCGCCGAGAGGCACCGGCCGTGCCACGGGCCTGGCACCGACCGGGAAGAAGGAGCCCGAGGAAAACCCGCCCGGCTCCCGCGGCGCCGGGATGCCCCGCACCCGCCCG